CAAGCCTCCATGGCAGAGCAGATAGTAAAACCTGGTCACCCACATCCTGGGCCGTCCCTCTAGCCACTGTACCACACTGGCTTCTAGAGCAGGGGTGTCAAATATAAGGCCCAGAGGCCGGAACAGGCCCATCCAGGGCTTTTATGTGGCCCGCGAGCAACAAGTGCAAGGGATGGAACAGGAGACTGCTCAGGGGGAGTGGGCAGAGCCACCCCGATTGCAACTTCGACTGGCTTCTAGAGCAGGGGTGTCAAATATAAGGCCCAGGGGCCGGAACAGGCCCATCCAGGGCTTTTATGTGGCCTGCGAGCAACAAGTGCAAGGGATGGAACAGGAGACTGCTCAGGGGGAGTGGGCAGAGCCACCCCGATTGTAACTTCGGCATGGTGGAAAAACCTTGCCTGCAACAGTCAAGCAGTGTGGGAACATCTGCCCAGTGCTGCACCGCTGGCTCTCCAGTCCACCCATATGGGTTTTCCTTTGCACCCCTCTCCCAGCCCGTGGGGCCTTGCAGTGAGAATACAACAACTCAGAGCTTACCAGCTGCTGTCCTTTATATAGTTTATATCTCCAGTACCTGGCATTATGTTTTATGGCACACATGGCCTGGGCCAACAAAGTGACATTTATGTCAGATCCGGCCCTTGTAACAAATGAGTTCGACACCTCTGTTCTAGAGGTATTCCCAAGAGAACTGAAGAGCTCCGGCATACATCTGAGCCCACAAGCAAGATTTTTAAAAGTGTCTCCAATGGGCAAAATAGGGACAGGTCCCGGAAAACATGCAGCATCTGGTAAAAAAAAAGGGGCAGTGGGAGGACATGCAATTTACCTTTAGAGACCAGAACTGCAGCTCCACCTTAAGGGTGTGTGGCCTCTCGACAGAGCTGTGCTTGGAGACGTGACTTTCACACATGTTCTGTTCGTTTCCCACCATAGTGCCTGGAGGATAATGGATTAGTGGTTTGTTGCATAATGTTCTTTTATGGTTCACACCTGCACTGGCAAGCTAATACAATTGTGGAGAGCATAACCTTTGGGCAGGTGAAGGAGAATAGGTGAGTTTTCTCCCACCAGCTGCAGTCTGGATTTATGTTGGTAGGAAAAGGAGAATACCCCTGGAGTTTTGTTGCAGTCAGCCATAATTAGGGTGTTTTGAGTTCCCTTACAAGGACACTGCCAGTCACACCCCCAAATCCAGGCACCGGTTCCTGCACCTTTCTGCTGCCTGCTTAATAGAACACTTCATGCACCTTACAAATTAAGCTCTGATTTAGGAAACCTTATGCTGAAATAAAGTTTGCTACTCTTAGTTATGAAACAAGCTCTCTGATTTACGAAAGCTTATGCTGGAATAAGGTTTGTTACCCTTCAAGGGGCCCCTGGACGCTGCTTTTATTTTATCACTACACACTAACGCAGCTGCCCATCTGAAACTACCGTGCTCAAAAGTGCAATCCTATGCAAAGCTCCTCCAGCTTAAATGCAATGATTTCAGTGGGCTTAGACTGGACTAACTTCGTACAGGATCACACTGCTGAGCATATTCCTTTTTTTAATCGGACGTGGCTAGGCACTGGCCCAAGTTCAACAGGAAACAGCCTAAGAAAGGGCCAGCTGCCTCTGTAGGAGCAGATCCTGAGCCGCTGCCAACCACCGTTAACAATGTACTAATAGCAAGCAAGGACTGTGAGAAGGAGCTTTGTGAGCACAGCGAGCTTTGCAAACGCGACGGAACAAGGCAGAAAACTTGCCAGGGACCTTGCAAGGAGAAGCGTCGGCTGCAGCACGGCTGGCGGAAACCCAGGCTTATGCGCGCTGGCCAGTGGAGGGAAATGAGCCCATTGCGCTCCCGCCTGCCTGGGCTACCAATGGAACGCCGGATAGCGGGGAAAAGGGAAGAACGCGCCCGGCTGGCTGTGCAACTCCAGTCCCGCTCGCCCCCACTTCCTCCAGCGTCCCGCTTTCTTCGGTGACTCACTCAGTCGCACACTCCCCAGGTCCGGCCCCACAGTGGGCTGTACTTCCGGCAAGTTCTCGTCACTTCCGGGGGCTCCCTAGCCGGAGAAAAGAGCAAGACTCCAGCCGCACCGGCTACGGTGGCCAGCTTGGGGTTGAGAAACACCTAGAGGCTTTGGGGGTGGAGCCTGGGGTGCTAGGGTTGCCAGTCTCCAGGTAGTGGCTGGAGATCTCTATGATTTGAGCTTCAGTTTCATTGCTACAGACAGACTAACGTGGCTACCCATCTTGATCTGTCTCCATGGGAGGCTCCCTAGGTTCATAACACTGGTGTAGTCAATGCGGTGTTGTTGTTGTTCAGTCGCACAGTCCTCTGAAGTTTGCTCAACTTCATGTTCGTTGCATCTGTGACACTGTCTAACCATCTCATCCTTTGCCGTCCCCGTCTTCTTTGACCTTCAATCTTTTCCAGCATCAGGGTCTTCTCCAGTGAGTGCTCCCTTCTCATTGGGTGGCCAAAGGATTTGAGCTTCAGTTTCATTGCTACAGACAGACTAACGTGGCTACCCATCTTGATCTGTCTCCATGGGAGGCTCCCTAGGTTCATAACACTGGTGTAGTCAATGCGGTGACTTGTTCAAAAAAGCTCTAACAACACGAAATCCCCAGGAGTAACCAGACTTGTGGTGAAGATACCAGAAGGCATTCTTAGAGCTGCTGTCTTGTGTCTGCCAATTCCTTTAGGAGCCCTCAGGTGTCAAGAAGACCCCCACCAATTAAGGGAAGGACGTTAATAACCAGCAAGCACTAGATAGGTTTCGTGGAATATTTGTTTTATACAGTGGCTTTTAAACTCAAAAGACAGGCCAGAGGTGAGGTGATTGAGGGAGAGGCTCTTTATGATTCCAGGTACAGGGTGGAGGAACAAGGAGAGACCAAGGCTGAGAGCGTGGTAAAATATAAATGCAGGGGTGAAATGCTTGCCAGGTGAGATTTTAATCCAGAGTCAACAAGGCCTAGTTCAGGTAAACTGGAGGATAAGGCAGCAGAGCCCTGAAATGGTAGGATGGTTCACTTGTACAAGACACAATTCACTGTATGGCAGTCACTCCTGAAAATGCAGCATTTACACTGGTATTTCCTATAGGGCTGGGGTGGGTGGTGGAAATTGACCAATTGTTACAGCATATTAACAATCATCTGCAACAATATACTAGTTCCCAGCATTTGTTTAAAAAGCCTTTGTTACTTATATGAAAATGTGCACACCTTTCCCCTTATAACTCTGCAACAAAAAGACTTCTTTAAAAAAAGACTGGAAACTTAATTTCTAAAATGAATGAAAGCTGGGAACTAGTACACTGCTACAGTACAGCAATCTAGTGCAACTATCTGTCAATTGCCAATTTTCAAAAAGCCCTTCACTGGGTGGGGAAAATGATTGCCAAAAGGCTTGAAATTTAAGAAAATGGCACTAATGTGAGTGGGACCTGCAAAACTGCACATCTCCCCCTCCACGTAGCATCCAGAGGTGTTTTGTGATCTTTTTACAGCCATTGTCCACATCAATTCAGACTGTAGCCACTAGAAGAAAAGATTGGATTTATACCCCACCCTTCACTACCCAAAGGAGTCTCACTAGAGTCCATCTTCCCCAAACACTGTCCTTGGGATAAATGGCATTTTCAAAATGGGGGAAAACAAAAAGAACACTAATCTCTCCCTTCGAAAATCTCTCCCTGCTCCCAGCTTTATAGGAGTCAGCACTGTTCCTTCTAAGCTGTGGAGTCTTGTGAGCAAAAATTCTACTTTGTGAGCTACTGGCATTAAAGTTGTGAGCTTTAATTTGGCTGCTGCATAAATTAGTTTGCTCTGCAACCATCCTTCCTGAGCGAAGACAAAAATGTGTGAGCCGGAGGCTCAAAAACTATGAGCTAGCTCACACTAACTCAGAGGGAACACTGGTCGGCAGCCAATCCTACACCTTCATAGAATAGCATGGGATGGGGTGGAGGTTTACCCTCCTCAAAACCCTGCTGCTTAAAGAAACATTAAGGACAATTAGCCCCAAACTTTGAGCTGTTTATTGCTATATGGAATAGCAGGGGGAGCTTTTGGAAAGGCAGTAAATGTGTTTTCGATTCCCCCCCCCTTCTGAAACTTCCTCCCCTCCAGCCTAAAACATGCAGCTTATACAAGGGTATGAGATTCATGTTCCAGGCAGGCTGAAGACATCTTTTGCCATCAAGCTGCAACTGACTTAGAGCAACCCCATAAGGTTTTCAAGGCAAAAGACTAATTGTGGTGCTTTGCCAGTGTCTGCCTCTGCATAGCAAACTTGCGACTTCCCTGGTGGTCTTCTATCCAAGTACTAAGCAGGGCTGACGTCATTTAGCTTCCAAGATATGACAAGATCGAGCCAGTCTGGATCATTCAGGTCAAAGGCCATAGTGCTACTTGTTAAGGGCTGGTGCACACCCAAATGTTGTGTTGTGGGTCTCCATTTGTAGAGTCAGAATAGCAGCAAACCTTTCCGGCTCCCAGGCCTTTCAGGAGGCCAAATGAGACAAGCCCTTCAATGTATGACAGAAGTCAGAAGTCCTTAAAGTCCAGAGGCTCCACCCATCCTCCTTTACCCACAATCCAAACACCCCACCCTCCTTTCTTGACAAAATTATAACTCCAGTGTCCCTCGTCAAAACTTGGTTCAAAAATCAGGGCTCTACTGGTAGCAGGAGCTCCTTTGCATATTAGGCCACACCCCCTAGTGTAGCCAATCCTCCAAGAGCTTACAGAAGCCCCAGTAAGAAGAGCTCTGTAAGCTCTTGGAGGATTGGCTACACTAGGGGTGTGTGGCCTAATATGCAAAGGAGCTCCTGCTACCAGTAGAGCCCAGCATATTTCCCTGACAAATTGCGAGGCAGCGAAGCTACCAGCCCCCCGGTTTTATTTTGCTTTTTCTGGTAGAAGGAAATGCTCAGAAAGTGTTTCAAACACCTCATGTTACTTTATTAAAAACCTGAAATCCCACAACACCCCCGTTCTCTAGAGCTGGTTCGTCGTGCCTACGTCACTACCAGCCACTAGAGGGCACTGTCATTTCTTCTTGGTCTCTTTGCAAGCCACTACATAGCGCTGGGCCACGTTGAGCGGTGGAGAATAACCATCTGCGTAGCTCGTATCTTCAAACAGCACCGAGTAATCATCCTGGGGCTGAGAGAGGAGGGACACAGAGTTACACAATATCCCGCAGAAGGGGAAAGCCCACGGGTCCATTCTGTTTTGCCCCCTTGACCCAGCCAGTTTGACCCAGCCAGAATCAAGTCTGGAGCAATTTTACTGGGTTAAAGGGTGGGATGGAAGGACACACGCCATTCACTCGCCACCTGGATTCAGCTGGGCTGTATCTTGTGCTCCTGATGTTCATAGCATCTGCCCACATCTCAGTGCACAGTATCACAAGATAATACACTCGATCACCCAAAGATATCACTCAATGGAAGAGGATCTGTGGTACGCTCGGGGCAGACCTTTTTCCTACACTGTCAACAGGGAATTTTAAGGACAGCCCAGTCACTTAAATGGTCCTACTTTGGGTGCCTTCTGTAGTTAAAAGATAATCTACCAGAGACAGGGCCTTTTGTGCAGTGGCACCTCATCTGCGGTATCATGCCCCTTATTTATTCTGCCAAATGGCCACATGTAGCTTAAAGGCAGGCGTCCTCAATATGGCACCCATCAGGGCCATGGTGCCCGCTGACACCTTTCCTGGTGCCCACCAAGGTTTCTTTTAGAAAGCTGGCAGGACCAGGTGGGGCTTTTGAGCAGCAGGGCTTCTGAATGGCCATCAGAGATCTGATCGGTTGGCCAGATTTTTAAAAAAGTTGTTTCGGCAGCAGCTGCCACCACAGCATAAAGATCTTCACGGGTGACTGAAAGAAGAAGAAAAGATTGGATTTATACCCCACCCTTCACTCGGGAGTCTCAGAGTAGCTTACAATCTCCTTCCCTTCCTCCCCCCGTGGGGCTGAGAGAGCTCTGAGAAAACTTCTCTTGAGAGAACAGCTCTGAGAGAACTTGTGACTGACCCAAGGTCACCCAGCTGGCTGCATGTGGAGGACTGGAGAATCAAACCTGGTTCTCCCAGATTACAGTCCACGCTCCTAACCACTGCAACAAACCGGCTCGCAAATAAGTTGCGTGTATGTAGTAAAATATTTGTAAACAACATGTTCATTTTAAAAGACATCCTGTTAAACAGAGCTTCTGAAATGCTGAATGAGTTACTATTAGAGATATGCATAACCTCACTCCCTGACATTTTCTGGTTGGCACCACCTCCTGCAGCAGCCATTTTGTGACTGACTCCACCACCCTGTTTCAGAATTCCAAAGGTGCCAGCAGGCTCAAATTGGCTAATCTTTCAGGCATCAGGTATAATTCTTAGCTGAGCATTTAGCAGGCTTTCATAAACTGAACTTTGCTGTCTTGGTATAATTGATCAAAGTTAGGGGTGGATACAGGGTATTCAATTCCCCCTCAACATTCTCAAGGCAATGAACATGCTCAGTCCTCCTCAGACTACTGCCTGTCTTTGGGTCTTTTCTGTCCCCTAGTGAGTCCTGCAAATATGAAGAAACTCTGTGGTGTATCTTCCTCCAGGACTAGGACTGAAAGGTGGGGCACATAAAGAATTTAAGCTAAACAGACTTACTGGCATAGAAGACGCAGGGAACTGAAACCAATTTAGATGTCTTCCAAAAAAAAGAGAATAGACAAATCCATGGAGGATAAGCCTCACAGTGGGCATTAGTCATGACACACAGTAACAAAGGCTTCGTGTTCAGAAGTGGCCAGAGTCTTCGCACCCTTGACTGGAAATTAGAGTTTTAGTTTGATTCCAACAGGGAAATTCCTCTGCTGGCTGGGATCAGGGAGCAACTGCAGGCCCACAGGAGAACAAGAGATGATGCTCGGCAGGTGCCTTGCAGACCAAAGTAGAGAAATGATCACCCAGGCCTCTTCCTTACCCGCTGTGGAGGGGTATGAATAAGCGCCCGGTAGAAGCAGGTGGTCTGTGGGTATAATGCCAGGACCAGCTGGTCTTTCTGGAACAAGGCCTCAGGGTCTGTTTCAGGGTTGGCTTTCCACTGGGGCAGGGGGATGATGCGCCGTCGGCTCAGGGTGTGGCGCCTACAGAGGAGGAGGTAGAAATTAAGATGGGGCCGCCCCAGCATCAGCCATCCCATGC